TGTTGTAGTGGCGGCGCTACGGAGGGCTATGGGCCCACAGCCTCCCTTTGGGGAGGCCTCACCGCCTCCCCCCGTCGGGGAGAATAACCCCAATTCGTCGGGGAGAAAAAAAATTCAAAACAATTATATGTATTTTGTACATGTTAGTAGACTCTAATATCGATTAAATAAGCCTTTGAAACCCCTAAGTTGTCATATTTTCGGGGGGAGGGGGCTACGTCCCCCTGAACCACTTTCGAAAGGTTTTTATCAACGCTCAACCAACTGAAACTCGACGCAAAGACTGTCCCAAAATGAAACGTCAAAAAAGTTGTCATCTAACGTAACAATAATAATAACTACTGTACTAATATTATCTAATAGTAACATATTGAATTAGTAGCTCTCCCTAGGCCTAAAATTGTAAAATTTATTGAAATCAAACATCTAGGCCTACCTACACAGAACTTACTTTTGACATCGCAGAGCAACATAACAAAAACGCAGAGAGAGCTAGCTAACACTAAAACCAAAAGAATTCACTGAATGTCGAGTAATTTTGCCAGCGATGCAATCGCCTATCGCTCGTGACCTCGTGCATTTACTCGTGTTTTTTTCGAAAATGTTCGCGAGAATAATTCTGAGCGTTGATTGGGTGTCGGCTCGTGATCAAAGGGTACCAAGATTCATGGTCACTTACCTCGGTAAACCATTTTCGGTGACATACTTTCAGTAGCTACATTAGCTACAAAATGAAGTCAGGAACTCATTTTTTGATACGTGTATTACCGGTACGTTATAATGATTTTCAATATAGTTTTAATTGAAATTGAGACGAAGAAGATCAATGGTGGTCTGATGTCTGTACTTTTAACACAAATATGCGTAATTCGGGGCGTAATTAGATCCTGAGATATTAACTAAAATTTTTCTAAATATTCAAGGAAACATTTCTCTTCCATGTAAATTGTCTAAGATGATTTTCCTGCAGACATCAAGTAATTTTAGCTGTTTAGTAACCTCTATTTTAACCTATTTGATGCGATAGTGCAATTTCTACTACTTTCCACTTGATTATAATGCTATTAAAATTACCCTTTAATAACAGCATATAATCTATATATACCACATCATGATCTTCAATATTTGAACATCTGTTGCATGAAATGATAGATTTCAATAGCTTTGCATTCGGCATACAGCGCGTAGTTCTGCGTCAGTTCAATATGTTCGTAGTTCACTCCTAGGCCGGTTCCCACTTAACTTGTCAAGCGAAAGCGTCGAGCGTCACGCGGCAAGTGAAGAGAATCGCGCAAAGTTCACAAGAGTTGACTTTCGGTAAAGAATGTCTCGCTTCCAATGATTCGCTTGCCTGTTCCCACTGCTGGCCGCGCGCAAAAACTCGAAATGGCGGGTGGCAACAGAGAAGTGATTTTGTTATCGCATTGATAGACGGAGGAAAAGGGCTGTGAGACGAATCAGATAAAATCCTCAGGATTAACATTCCCAGAACTCTATAACGAATCAAAAGAGTGAATATAAACATAGTTTTTTTAGTTCACATTTATTCAAGGCCTAGAGCTAGGCCTCATAAGGGTAGATAGTAGGCCTAGCCTACCCTACCCTATGGTAGGTCTCAGGTGTAGCAGGGTATCAGAGGCCTAGGCTGGACAAGCCTAATACTGGTAGAAAGAGGAGATAACTCAACTCGTTTCTGCAAATCCTTTTCCACGCATTGTCACATATTTTCTTTGCTCCCTTGTCACAGACCTAAACAAGGGTAGCCTACTGTTCCACAGAGGTTGCATGAAACGGACTCGTCGGTCATCGTTCGCACATAATCTGTACATTCTTTTGACAATGTTCGTGATTGTGAGTTTATTGTTGACCTTTGACATAAATTGAATCTATCCCCGGTATTCTTAAAACGAACTTTAGTCGAAGTTCGAGCTAAAACTTAAAAATTACGTCATTTACGAATACAAATTGAAGTTAAAGATGCAACTAGCACTAAATGAAGTTCTAGTTCGAAGTTCGACTAAAGTTTGTTTTAAGAATACGGGCGTAAGCCTTGCGATTGGTCCATCGGCCGCGAATTCGCTCGCGAATCCGAAAAAGTTGGTCTTGGATCAACTCTTGTGAATTCGCAGGCGAAGCCTCCGCGACCACCGCGCGCACCGCGTCGAAGTTCGAATATTGGGCGTTGGCGTGTTCACATTGGGACGCCAGTCGCGTCTTTGATTCAGCCGCGCGCGACACATTTCGACGCGAAATTCGCTTGATCGCTTTTTAAACTTGTCAAGCGAAAACGTCGAGCGTCACACGGCAAGCGAAGAGAATCGCGCAAAGTTCACAAGAGTTGACTTTCGGTAAAGAATGATTCGCTTGCCTGTTCCCACTGTTGGCCGCGCGCAAAAACTCGAAATGGCGGGTGGCAACAGAGAAGTGATTTTGTTATCGCATTGATAGACCGCGAATTCGCTCGCGAATCCGAAAAAGTTGGTCTTGGATCAACTCTTGTGAATTCGCAGGCGAAGCCTCCGCGACCACCGCGCGCACCGCGTCGAAGTTCGAATATTGGGAGTTCGCGTGTTCGACTACAGATTCGTTTGCATGTTCACATTGGAAACGCCAGTCGCGTCTTCGATTCAGCCGCGCGCGCCACATTTCGACGCGAAATTCGCTTGATCGCGTTCAGTGGGAACCGGCCTTTAGTGTTGTTTATATGGACAATCAACAACGATGCACACACGCCATGTCGTCTTGAACATAACTAATTTAATCCTATTCCTCCACGCGTACGCGCGTGCATGAACGGCACATATCCCAAGTAGTACCATAGCACTACACTACATCTCCCCAAACTTTCAAAAGAGTTACAATAAAATTTTGAACCTGACATTGCATATGAATTAGGTGAACTGTAAAAACTTGTGATTGTGACATACATACCATGTTATCATTCATGTGAAACTTTCCATTAACACATTACGATAATTATTACTGAAGATGTGATTAAATGACTGTGTTTCCAATTAAAATGATGTTTTATATATCTGTTTTTGACTTTTTTTTTCTTTTTTTTTTTATAATTATGAAAACATAACAATAACACCAGGGCTTTTACTGTACATTACTGTACAACAGTAATGCAAAACCCAAAACCAACAATAACAGTTGGCATACTGAAATGTCAACAATAAGTAGTACTTAATGATACAATGTACTGTAATACAATGAGTTGTACCATTAGACAGTACATGACTGCCACACCTGATTTACCAACCTGGTAAATCAACAGAAAAGTTTTCGAAGCGTTTAGGAACATTCCTAACCCTTTTAGGCGGAGGAGATCGAACGGGTATGACATGCTTGTGCTGGCACTGTCTGCAAGCAGATCGATCAGAATTCTCTGAACACTCAATAGACCGATTCAATTTCCTAACATGACTTCTAGCCTTAACTTCACTTCCACGACGAGCTGTAACCATAGAACCTTTTACACCAATTACTTGAAAAGGCTCAGGTTGGAATTTGGGGGAAAGTTTTGTAGATCGTGACATGTTCTTTAGCACAACTTTGTCACCCACGTTTACACTTGACGACTTGATATTACGTTTTCCCTCGGCATAGACTTTCATTTTGTGTTTTGCTAACTTATCGCGTTCCCTGAATTCCATATCATTTTCTTCGACAGATACTTGGGGTAACTTAGTTTTCAATACCTGACCATTTAACACAGTAGCCGGTGCAACACCCGTCGAAGAGTGGGGTGTAGCCCTATAGTTCCTTAAGAACTTATGAAGTTCTTGTTTCCATGGCCTGCTTTCGGCTTGTGCGCATTTACAAAATTTTCCAATAGTTTTCATAAACCTTTCTGCGGCCCCGTTGGCATCAGGCCAGTACGGAGTAACTTTTTGATGATGAAATCCTAAATAATTCGCAAAGCTTTTAAATTCTTCACTTTGAAAGGGTGTTCCATTATCAGTTTTCAGTTTATCTGGGATACCCCTTGATGAAAACACTTTATCAAAAATCGGGATGACAGAACTGGCTGAAAGGGATTTAATTATCTCTACCTCTGGGAATCGAGAATACTCATTGACTATAACTAGTAAGTGCTCTCCCGAAGGCAGTGGTCCGAAGAAGTCCGCTGCCAAACATGACCATTTGCGTGGGGGTAATTCAGTCATTTGAATGGGTTCTCTCTGTTTAGGGTCGAATGATACTTTACACGCTATGCATTCATTTACGACATCAGCTACCATATTGTCTAACTGCGGAAACCAAATTTTCTCCCTTAAGAGTGCTTTGGTTTTAACCAACCCTTGATGCCCTTCATGGGCAATCTGTACTGCACGCATTTGCAGCTCCTTGGGGATGACGATCCTAGTACCACGTAGAATAAGCCCATTTTCACTAATAGTTAATTCTGCGCTGATGCGACTGTATGACTGAAGTGCCTGAAAATCAACTTTAGAATTACCACGGTATTTTGTTTCTAATAGGTACCATTTGTTAGTGGACAGCAAATCTTTAACAGCGTTAAGCGTTGGATCATTTTCTGTTGCGTTTACGACCTCGTCGACTGTCATGGCTTTTGGAATGTTTTCATTCATTACAAAACTAACATATTCTTCAGCGATAATCTCTTCACGTGAACTTAGTTTAGAATCTTGAGGATGGCGCGACAGATAATCAGACGGGTTATCTTTGCCTATCTTATACACAATGGTCGGTTTGTATGGCAAGAGACGCAGCGCCCATCGCTCTAACCGTAATGGTAAATTGGCGTTGGGATTTCCGAATAGGGTTACTAACGTCGGCCGACGCAGCCCGACCCGATTTATCGTCGGGGACAGTCTTAAGCCGTCGTGAGAAATATTAAATATTCTACGACGCGACTGCCACCGACGCACACCCGACGCGACAACAAATCGCGTCGGGCTGCGTCGTACGACGTTGTCTGAGTTGGCCTTTAGAGTACTAAATGGCGTGTGTATATATTTTAATATCGATAGGCAATATTATGCAATGGAGGCGATACTTGGCGATACTCAAGTTGGTATAGAAAATGTGCCAGATATCATCTTTGAAAAAATCATTCGCCTTCTTGATGCTAGAAGTGTTTTAATAGCAAAACAGGTTCGTAATAGTTTTCATTCAAAAGTACTTTCTATTTTATATCAATGTTACCCACTTGGTTGTCCACCAAACATTATTGGTGGTGTGTCAAACGCCAAGGGTCCGTGGGTGGTCCGCGAGAAATGTAAGTGGTCCGCCAAAGGTTGAGTTGCCGCCGTCGTATATGGCTTGTAAATCCCCGGAAAACAACATAGTATTTTAATTTTGGCATTGCTTTCACACTAGCGTGGCACGTCTTAGACGTACCACGCGGGGAAAATTTAGGCAAAGAGGGCTGAGTATTTGTTTGTTTGTTTGTTTGGTTTTTTTTTGGCAACACCTATTTTACCTTCATACATAGGGTATTCTGTACCACATTTGCTATTGTAAAATTAACCAATTCTGTACAGCCATATTTTTGTGGGATTGATTTTAAAGTGAAAAAATATCTACTGTGCCCTGTCTGTGGGGTACCATGGCAATTCATTGGGGAACAGTGAGCCACAGTATTTTTCAAAATTACAATTAAAAGTAAGCAAAGATGTACAATTCGATAACAATGAAATCAAACATATTATTTATTGTAATTATAATCTAAAATTCTACTGTGTCATAATACTAAACTCTTCTTTTAAATCGGATGATATTAATGCTTTTTCTTTTTTCCAATTTTTCAATCATCTTTTGCTGTTTCGAACCATATTTTAAGCACCTAATGATCACCACCGGCTGAATGAACCACCCTCACAAAATATTTTTGAAATAAAAAAAAAATATAAAGACAATAATTTATTTTCTCTCAAATTCACAGGTTACAATATTCTCAATTTGTTGATGTATCACGTAATAATTCACTAAATTCACCATTTTTACTTTATGTTGATCCAACTTCTCAATTCTAAATTCACTTGTTAGTTCTCTTTAATTATGCTAAATAGGCCTATCTGTTTAAATCTGCTTAATTCTTCTTAATTCTAACTCATTGAGTCAATGATTAACAGTTTGTTACATTCGTTACCTCCCGTCTGATCACTGCAGAACATTTCTTACTTGTGGCATTTACAATTCTCGAATTGTATATTTTCCCAGTCTTACTGGTGCAAACTCCATGTTTCTCAACCACATAGTCCCTATGGAATTTTCCCCATTGTTTTTTGATTTATTTTTATTTCTAAATTTCTCTTAATTAAAGAACTGCCTCCTGAACGTAAATTATACCCCAAAAATGTTTATCTGTTGATCATCAAGCTAAGCCGGGAAGGCATAATGCTCTTTACATTATCGATTTGCGTAAAACCACGTCACAGATATTGTAAAAAAAAAAAGGTAAAGGTAGGAGAATAACCCATAACTTGCAGGTCATTGTGCTGAATTGCGTATGGGCGTGGTCCGTGACTACCTAGCAGCCGTAGAGAGGCGCTTCTTGGTGATACATGTTCACATCATCCCACAACGACAGGGGCTGAAATGAACCATAACATCGGGGTAAACCCCTACTCTTCCGAAAGATGCAATGGGTTCTTTGAAGTGCACACGAGCCAGATATATACAATGGACCTCAATTTTAAGTCCTTATCCGAGAAGACTTGGGTTCTACAAACCGAACCATGGGCGAGGAGCGGCTGCAACCAGCACCGAAGTTAAGGCTGTAGCTAGCGGCGCCCCTGCTTTACCGCTCGGCCACTCGACTCGCCTTAAAGATTCCACTTTGCGATTTCTATTTCAGGTGTCCCATGTTTGGAAAAAAATAATCGAGCACCTTGAGCATCGGGAGAAAAAACCGTTATGGCGACATATATGTCTACGCGACATTCATAGGGCCTCCCTAATAGACATTATAGGTTTCAACCCCTATAAGCAGGAGGTATCTGGTGGTGACGAGGGAGACTTGTGGAAGAACGTCTACAAGAGCTGGAAGACAGGCCAAACTTTGAGTTTTCATAAACAGAAATCTCACAAGCTGACAGGAGTTAAGATAAGTGATGGATACACAAGCGTTATGCAAATCGGTGAGAATACTTTCAGCACCAATTACATCTTATTCTATATGAATTAAATATGAATTGTCATTCACTAAAATCCTTATAGGCCTACAAGTCTAAAACATTGCTTTGTGTTGCCCAAGCACAATGACAATATTTTGGCTTCCTTTAAGAATATATGTAGTATTGGGAGGGGGGAGGTGTGGGGGAAAGCCGCCTGTCGATTTTTAGGTAATCGTGTTTACTTTTTTTCAGGAACCTATACGTATATTCTCACACATCATGACGTTATGCTATCTGTATGGAATGTTAATACCAGTCACAAAGTTCTACATTCCCAAAGCCTAAAAGACAAGCTACTTCCAAGCAATCCACATTGGAATCAGATGTATCCGTACGTACATAGTAAGGAAATTTAATGCTTAATTTGGAAATCTATTATAAGTAGAGTGCGCTTCCACCGCGTTTGTTATTAGTAGGCGAGCGGCCTTGGTCTCTTATGGCCAATTCAGACAGCGTCGGCCGACGCAGCCCGACCCGATTTATCGTCGGGGACAGCAAAGATACTAGAAATACAAGATAGAGTTCTCGCGTTGTAAAAATGAGGCGGAAGTCGTGCCCAACGTAGGCGGCGCCCTTCGTTTTAACCATGCAAGTTTCCTATACTTCGTGCCCAACGTACAGGGCGCCCTTCTGTTGCTAAGTATATCCAGACGCAAAAGGCGCCCTTCCTTTTCCACTAATGGAGGAAAACTGTTTTACTAAGAGTGCGTCCGACCATGCGATTCTGCGCTGTATTGTTGTTTTATTTTTTACTGATTCATGATTATGCTTTAATTGTTTTGTGTATTATTTGGATAATAGCAACGATTTCTACCGCCACCAAGGA